AGTGTACTCAGTAGAGTGCAGATCTCCGCCAGGTGTGTCTGGGGCCATTTGGGTGGGGAACAGGCAATGCAGGGCAGGTTGTATGTCCAGCGTGTATGCATGAGTAGTTGCAAGAGGGTGGCATGGAGACTTCAAAGAGTGGCAAAAATATATTCAAATAATTGTATCAGTATTTGCTTGGAAAATTAAGATATTTTAACTCAAAAACATTACATTGTTGTGGCACATTAGTAAATCTTTGAACAGAGATATCTAAAGGTGAAATTGGAAATTAATTTCATTTCCAAATCTTGAGGCACTGTTTCAGAATCAGAATCAGAATCAGAATCAGAAAGTAAAGTTTACAAATACGTGCCTTTTTTCATTATCACTTAGTCTAAAATGTGACCATGACATATCATTAAATTGTTTGTGTTAATTTCCGTAACACGGTAAAATTTATCTAAATTAATGTGTAAATGTGACACCTCAGGCAATTCAAAATGTATGTAAAAAAAAATTCAAAAGGAAAATGCCAAAAAAAAAAAATGCGAACAAGCTGATCTGAAGCAGCTCTTGATCATGTGTGGCCCCTACCGGCTGGTTGAAGTGAAGAGTCATTATTATTAAATTGTGAGTGATTGCAACCACGAGAGGTCCGTGATTATACAGTCATAAATGTGCACAGCAAAGATAGGCTGATCGGTCCAGTAGTATGCGAGATTAGCTGCGGATGATACACACGACCAAACGTATTATCCCAGGCTTAAAACTGGCAGAGGTTTCTGGTTTTGAGGGAGAGTGCTTGGAGGGTTCATCCTGGGGCAGGTCTATCTGTGTGTAACTGAGGTGACAGAGACCAGTTGGTGGACATAATAAACTATTTAACTTCTAGACAGCTTCCAGCCCTTATACCTCATCTTCCAGCACAAGAAAGATGCAAACAAGCTGGAAAGACTTCATTCTACCCCATCTAGACCTTCCATTACGCAATGGCCATGTGAAAGGAAACCAATTTGGGTATTGTGATGAAAGGCAGGCAGAAAAGATCTTGGTATAGTGGCTCTCTACCAGACATGGTCTGAGCTCGGAGATGAGTAATGAGGTTATTTACCTCTCAGCTGGGACTTGCTCCCTGATTTGTGAGATTCTCCAAATACCATGCGTTCATTCTGCAACCTTTTTTTTTTTACCAGCCAGATGTGTCTTTTTAGAAATAAATGGATAAGGAATATCTGTTCTTCTTCAACCCAATGAGAAACCAAAGTAATCACGCATATTGTCACTTATGCACAGTAATGTGTATAAATCTGTTTACACAGAGTCAGGAAATTGATTAAGTCACTTTCTCAAATCACTGCAATATTGAGATAAGCTCTGAATTATCAGCAGGGTGTGAAATTAACTTTCTATCCAGTTTCTACAGACTAGCCAATGATGCAGGAAATAACTTTCATTTACTCATTCCTTCAGTCAGCTCATTACAACAGAATTACAGTTAGTGGATCTGTCACCTTTTGGTTGGTAAAAGGCATGGTGTCCAAAGATGACAACCAATTCACTTGCCTCATCTCTGCGATACTGCTGAAAGTCTCTAAAATGCTGGTAAGCTTTGTGTCAGCAGCACAGTACAAATACATGCAGTGACTCCATATACTTCTCAGTAATATGATATTTTGGTAATGTATGGTCAACTGCAGAGTGGTCAAAAGATTCAACATGAGTGTGAAACTGGCAGCAGCTCGTGTTGAGTCTTGACTTGGTTGAGAAAAGCTGTAGGTTGTTTAGACTAAATTTAATACCAATTAAAGAAAAGCAAGGAATTTTAAATGGTACTATCAACAAACATTTAATTAAAGGGGACTAATCCTGAAAAGGCCTTCAGATGTTGAAAGCAACTTTTGTCCCTGCACGCAGCATCCATAACAGCAGCATAATGCAATCAGACATCCAAATGCTTCATTTATCCAAATATAATTCAATTGAGCACCAAATACTTGGCTCACTCACTTCCTCTCCTTTTGCAAAGCAATCTATAGTTGTCTGCATTTTTGTGAATGTGCCATCCGCTGTGTGTGTATGTGTGCATGTGTCTGTCTTCCTGTTTGTC